GGCGGAGGCTCAGGTGGAGGCTCAGGCAGAGGCTCAGGTGGAGGTTCAGGCGGAGGCTAACGGGAGGCTCAGGTGGAGGCTCAGGCGGAGGCTAACGGGAGGCTCAGGTGGAGGTTCAGGCGGAGGCTAACGGGAGGCTCAGGTGGAGGCTCAGGCGGAGGTTCAGGCGGAGGCTAACGGGAGGCTCAGGTGGAGGTTCAGGCAGAGGCTAACGGGAGGCTCAGGCGGAGGCTCAGGTGGAGGCTCAGGCGGAGGCTCAGGTGGAGGTTCAGGCAGAGGCTAACGGGAGGCTCAGGCGGAGGTTCAGGCAGAGGCTAACGGGAGGCTCAGGCGGAGGCTCAAGTGGAGGTTCAGGCGGAGGCTAATGGGAGGCTCAGGTGGAGGCTCAGGCGGAGGCTCAGGTGGAGGTTCAGGCGGAGGCTAACGGGAGGCTCAGGCGGAGGCTCAGGTGGAGGCTCAGGCAGAGGCTCAGGTGGAGGTTCAGGCGGAGGCTAACGGGAGGCTCAGGTGGAGGCTCAGGCGGAGGCTAACGGGAGGCTCAGGTGGAGGTTCAGGCGGAGGCTAACGGGAGGCTCAGGCAGAGGCTCAGGTGGAGGCTCAGGCAGAGGCTCAGGTGGAGGTTCAGGCGGAGGCTAACGGGAGGCTCAGGCGGAGGCTCAGGTGGAGGTTCAGGCGGAGGCTAACGGGAGGCTCAGGCGGAGACTCAAGTGGAGGTTCAGGCGGAGGCTAACGGGAGGCTCAGGTGGAGGTTCAGGCGGAGGCTCAGGTGGAGGCTCAGGCGGAGGCTCAGGTGGAGGTTCAGGCGGAGGCTAACGGGAGGCTCAGGTGGAGGTTCAGGCAGAGGCTAACGGGAGGCTCAGGCGGAGGTTCAGGCGGAGGCTCCCTGCTCACCACCAGGGTTCTCTTACAGTCAAATATGCTCTTCATGCTAAAATTAAATAAAATTCTTCTCATTTTAACCTAGATAAAATTTTTAAAAAGTCCATCACTGACCCTTTTATGGAAGGTCTGACTGCTCTGGTTTCTAGGTAAGGTGGTTTCAGTCGATTCAGTTATCCTCTGTGCTGAACTCCTGCCCACTTCTGTCCCTCCCTCAGGACACTCCAGTTCTCTGGGCGCCACTGTCCGTCATTCTTTCTACCCTGGCTGTGACCTCTGTGATGAAATGTGCATGAGGACAGCAGGACAAGCCTGGCAGGAACTGCAGGAAACACCGCCACACGGCGCAGGCCAGCTCGAGGACCACCCCAGTGCCCGGCCACAGGCGTGTGGCCTCCCGACCAGTCAGCAGGACTCCCCCCGGGCCCTCCCACTCCACTCCCTCCGTCTGCAGTGACACTGGCTGTCTGCAGCCCGGCAGTCCCTGTGCGCTCCAGAGAGCGCGCCCCTGCCGGCCACTGGGCCCTCGGCTGCCGGTCCTGTGGCGCCGGCCGTGCCGGCCCGGGAGTGCCTCGTGCCCGGTGTCTTCTCCAGGGCCGCCTGCTGCGCAGAGTGGAGCTCTCCTCAAGGAAAAACAGCAGCGAAATACCACTGCTTCCAAAATAAAGCATTTATCCAAAGTAAAATACTTCGTTTGCACTTCAAAACAGACTGTGATGCCCCAGTGCGGCTGCCCATGGCTCAGCATTCAAGAAATTTCTGCCTCTAGAAATGCTAGCGTTGTCCCTGTCCCTCACAGAACTCCAGTGCTCGTCCAGGGGGTCCCAGAGGCACCCGGTCTGTCCCCCGTTGTCCCTGTCCCTCACAGAACTCCAGTGCTCGTCCAGGGGGTCCCAGAGGCACCTGGTCTGTCCACCGTTGTCCCTGTCCCTCAAAGAACTCCAGCGCTCGTCCAGGGGGTCCCAGTCTGTCCCCTGTTGTCCCTGTCCCTCACAGAACTCCAGTGCTCGTCCAGGGGGTCCCAGTCTGTCCCCTGTTGTCCCTGTCCCTCACAGAACTCCAGCGCTCGTTCAGGGGGTCCCAGAGGCACCCGGTCTGTCCCCTGTTGTCCCTGTCCCTCACAGAACTCCAGCACTCGTCCAGGGGGTCCCAGAGGCACCCGGTATGTCCCCCGTTGTCCCTGTCCCTCACAGAACTCCAGCACTTGTCCAGGGGGTCCCAGAGGCACCTGGTCTGTCCCCCGTTGTCCCTGTCCCTCACAGAACTCCAGCACTTGTCCAGGGGGTCCCAGAGGCACCCGGTCTGTCCCCCATTGTCCCTGTCCCTCACAGAACTCCAGCACTCGTCTAGGGGTTCCCAGAGGCACCTGGTCTGTCCCCCGTTGTCCCTGTCCCTCACAGAACTCCAGCACTCGTCCAGGGGGTCCCAGAGGCACCTGGTCTGTCCCCTGTTGTCCCTGTCCTTCACAGAACTCCAGCACTCGTCCAGGGGGTCCCAGAGGCACCTGGTCTGTCCTCGACACCAGGCAGAGGGAGAGGCCGAGGCACGCAGCTGTCAGCAGGAGGTGACAAGCCCAAACCGCATGGCTAGGGCTTCAGGCTTTGGGTTCAAGGTGATACCAGGGACAGGAGAACGAAGACCAGATTCTTCTATTTTGCTATTTACTTCATATTTGTAACAAACACACAGAATGCATCTATGACTTTAAGGTCTCTGTCTTGCAGAGGCTACTTTTCAATGTATTTTTCCAGCCATCCGTGCACTTCATGTACACCTGATGTAATAAAAACAACCTGGCTTTTAAGCACGAGCTCTCATGCCAGCATCTTAGCATATATATTCCTTTAGCAACAGGACCCGTGTTCTCAGCCTCCGTCAGGGCTGTGAGGCGGCTCAGCTGGCGCTCCCAGGCGCTGAGTCACGACTGCTGTGGGGGCTCTGGGGGTGGCACTTTACAGCAGCCTGGTGTCTGTGAATCTGGACGCGTGACGGCTGAGCTTAAAGCATTCGGATCAGTCACAGAAAACCACCCGCAGACGCACCACACACCAGCGCGCCGACCCGCAGCGCCCAGGAGGCTCCGTGGGAGGGGACCTGCAGTTCCCACTCTCCCATAGCCACGTTTCATCAGACTCAACTCTTTTCCTTAAAAAACAATGGTTAAAGTTAGAAGCTGTAAATGTTGATCTGAGCCAACCTGTGTGTTCTCCACTAGTGCACAACCACTGTGCTCTCAGAGCCATGCCTCAGTCAGCGCCACGCCGCTGCTGCTGGCGACTGCCATGCTGCCGGCCAGCGCACGCACCAGGGGGGCACACACCAGCGCACGCACCAGCGCACGCACCAGGGCACGCACCAGCGTACGCACCAGGACACGCACCAGCGCACGCACCAGCGCACGCACCAGGGCACGCACCAGTGTACGCACCAGGACACGCACCAGCGCACGCACCAGGGGGGCACGCACCAGCGCACGCACCAGGGCACCCACCAGTGCACCCACCAGGGCACGTACCAGCGCACCCACCAGGGCACGCACCAGGGCACGCACCAGGGCACCCACCAGGGCACGCACCAGGGCATGCACCAGGGCACACACCAGCGCACGCACCAGGACACGCACCAGGGCACCCACCAGCGCACCCACCAGGGCACGCACCAGGGCACGCACCAGTGCACGCACCAGGGCACCCACCAGGGCACGTACCAGCGCACCCACCAGGGCACGCACCAGGGCACCCACCAGCGCACCCACCAGGGCACGCACCAGGGCACCCACCAGCGCACGCACCAGGGCACCCACCAGGGCACGTACCAGCGCACCCACCAGGGCACGCACCAGGACACGCACCAGCGCACCCACCAGGGCACCCACCAGGGCACCCACCAGCGCACGCACCAGGACACACACCAGCACAACCACCAGGGCACCCACCAGCGCACGCACCAGGACACGCACCAGCGCACCCACCAGGGCACCCACCAGCACACGCACCAGGGCACGCACCAGGGCACGCTGTTAGTTGAGATTACAGTTTTAGTTCTGAGCTTAAAAGGTAAGTAAAACGACATTTTCAACAGAATAAAAATACCTTATGTCCTTTAAAATAAGGGTGAACTGAGAAGTTAGGGCCCTTGAATTCAAAAGCTCTTGTTCACTTTGCTGTTAGCCACTGAAATTCTAAAAGAAAACAAACAAACCAGAAACAACAGGCGTCCAGGGCAAGTGCAAGACATCCCCAACACACGGGCTCGTCAGTCACGCGTTCACGTCCATGACACACGGGCTCACCACGGTCACGCGTTCACGTCCATGACACACGGGCTCACCACGGTCACGCGTTCACGTCCATGACACACGGGCTCACCACGGTCACGCGTTCACGTCCATGACACACGGGCTCACCACGGTCACGCGTTCACGTCCATGACACACGGGCTCACCACGGTCACGCGTTCACGTCCATGACACACGGGCTCACCACGGTCACACGTTCACGTCCATGACACACGGGCTCACCACGGTCACGCGTTCATGTCCATGACACATGGGCTCACCACGGTCACGCGTTCACGTCCATGACACACGGGCTCATTACGGTCACACGTTCACGTGCCTGACACACGGGCTGGTCACGGTCACACAGTCATGTCCCTGACACACACACATGTCAAGGGCACACTTCAATTACATGACCAACCTCCTAAGAGCAAGCTGGGCACGAGGAGCCAGGGCAGGCTGCCCCTGCACAGGGGCTGGTCTAGGGTGGCAGCTTGTCACCGTGACCACAGAACCTGGTGGCCCAACCCAGCCTGATCTCAGCCTATGCGTATAATTTCCACGGCATCTATGAGTCTCTCTGCGGAGACACGGCTTGGATATATATCTATGAAAGAGACGTGGAGGTGCACCTCTGGCTGCCAAGCTGTTCAGGTGGTAAGAGATCAACCTGGCAGCAGGACTCGTGTAACAGCCCCACAGGCCCTGCAACAGCCCCCCACTCCTTCAAAGTGGCCAGACTGTCTCCATGAGCAGCTTCCCCATGGTGTTTTCACCCATACGACATGGACACTGCCCAAGTTTATCTGCGAGAGATGAGCTCACACTCGGGGATACTTGCCGCTGAGCAGAGGCTTGTTGAGGGTGTACAGAGGGGGCAGGTCCTCTATGTTGGAGATCCGCTGGTACATGGCTCTGGAGAGGTGGTCCCCGTGGTAGAGGCTGCCCAAGATGATGCTCGAGAAGTAAATCGGCTCCACGAAGATGCTGAGCAGGGAGCCCTGGATGCCCACCACGTTCCACCTGCAGGCAGAGGGACACAGGCCTGAGCGGGGCACGGCGCAAGTCGCAGACCTGATGCCCACCTGCCGTGGGTACAGATGCCGTTAATTCTGCACAAGTTTCGGCCATTAAAAAGACAGCAGCCAGAAACAACGGCCTCAGCAACTTAGACTTTTAAAAAAAAAAAGCTACTTGAAAGTCATTGTAGCCGTGGAAGGACCTTTGCCCTGATAACACAGTACTGAAGGTTAGCTCTAACAAGGTACCCACGAGACACGTTTCTTGTGAGAAAAATCAAAAGGGAAAGTAAGTATTTTATCAATTCCAATAAAAACGATCGCTCTAGAGTCCTTGAAAACATTAAACCGTCGTTTTCCTGTTCCTTGGCGACAGCTCTGACCAGGGCTCTGTGTACACTGGGAGGATGGACCTGCCCTGCTGGGGCGGCAGCCGAGCCACCGCGCCAACGGCACAGGAAGGTGGAGTGACTGCGTGACTTTTGTCAGACCATCAGGGGTTTGAGCTCTGACTCACACACCATCCACAGACACGCTGTGGCTCTCTGAGCCCCACAAATGGAGAAGCACCCCACAGCCCGGGAGCCGTGCTCCAGCACCCTCAGTACTGGGCACTGAGTCCACGGGGCAGCGACAACACAGCCCACATGTCCCGGGAGCCCAGGGACAAGCAGTGAAAAGGCAAACACATGAATCAAGAATTAAATGTTGAGCTGAAATCAGTTTGAGGGAGAGCGGGTTCCACAAAAAAGGAGAAGAGGGAAGGTTCCCACAGGGTGACCCCAGAGGGGATGTGGGGCAGAGTGGGGAGGAGGCACCATCCAGACTCAGCATGAGGGTCAGGCCAGGGAGAGGGCGGGCAGAGGGCGGGGATAGGGCAGGCAGAGGGCGGGGAGAGGGCGGGCAGAGGGCGGGGATAGGGCAGGCAGAGGGCGGGGAGAGGGCGGGCAGAGGGCGGGCAGAGGGCAGGCAGAGTGCGAGGAGAGGGCGGGGAGGGGGCAGGCGGAGGGCAGGCAGAGGGCGGGGAGAGGGCGGGCAGAGGGCTGAGCTAGGCTGGCCTGAGGAGCCTCCGCAGGTCCTGGCTGTTCCTTGGGGCAGTGGAGGTTCCTGAAGACCTTTCAGGGAGGAGGTGGCAACACCTAATTTAATGGAACTGCTTTTCGACAGGGACTGACCTGGTGGCATTTCGGGAAGTGGCCTGTGGGCAGTGTGGGGAGGTGTGGTGGGACGACAGGTGGTGGCTACCCGGGAGCCGGCTCTGCAGCGCAGGTCAGGTCGGAGATGAGCAGGGCAGCGAAATGAGTCCTATTTTAGAAACATCAGTGCCTCCCCCAACGTCCCCCCGTGTCCACTCTCACCCCTGGCCACCAACTCTGCCACATCTTCCGTCCTCAACGTGGGCGGCAGGGGCGCTGGGTGGTAAGAGCTGTGACAGTGTCCACGTGAGCCTCGTCCTGGCCCCCCCAGCTCTGTGCCCTGTGCTCAGGCCGACCTCGCCGTCACACTGGCCTCCTTGTCCCTGTCCCAGGGCCGCGGCCAGCACACTTGCAAGAGGCCCCTGCAGTCGACCTCATCCCCGAGCCCTCTGCTGGACTGAGGCCCACCCCAGCGCCCACGCCGACCGCAGCGGCCTGGACGCACAGGCCAGACGAGGCCCTCCTGTGCACAAACCCCAGCGCTCCCCTCTTCTCGGGGCGAAGGCCAGCAGCCCAACAGCCGCCACCTTGTCGGCCTGCTCCTCCTCCTTCAGGCCTCCAGCCACAGTGCCTCCCACACGGCCACCAGGGTCCTTGCTGCTCCCCCAGAGTCACCACCCTCAGGTCCTTCAGCACAGAACACGTCCCTGAACAACCTCTGCCCACGCTCCCCCACCTTTGTCTCTGCAGAAAGTCCCTCTTGGTGCCCTGTCCCCAGCCCCTCCTATGCTAACTTCCTGCATTGTTTGCAGGTCTGGTTTTGTTATCCGTCCCCACCAGCCTACCAGTGTGTGAGCTCCCGGAGGGAAGGCCTCTTTGTTTTACTCGCCGATTTGTCCCAGCTCTTAAACTGGGACAGTAGGTCAATAAATGCGTGCTGAGCAAACCCTCCCATTCCCACCATGCTTTCCTCACACTCTCTAAAACGGAAATTAAAACACAGGTTTTCTTTCTGACAAGAAAAAGCACGACGTGACTGGATGCACACACCTGAGCCTCTCAGTCCCACCAGAGTCCCCCACCCAGCTTGCCCACGCAGAGGGGACAGACCCCTGTGACAACAGCTCTGAATAACCAAGCTATCTGCCCGGGGGGCGGGGGGACGGGGTGTCACTGCTTCCTCCCACAGCTCCACGTGGCCCACGGCCATCAGATCTGAGACCTGGTGCCTTCCCACAGCCCCGCTGAGGCAGCTCACCATGAGATGGCTAATCCCACTCTCATCACTGTGACCCAAGTAGCCTTGAAGGGTGGTGGCTGCCTTCAGCCAAACTGCCCACGACCCACAGACATGGCACCTGGAGGCCCCCAGTAGCACTGCACCTCCCTCCCCGCCCCCAGCCCACCGTGGCCGGCATCCCTAAGCTGCCCTCTGCCCCGCCCCCACTTCCTGCCCCTCAGGCTGGGACACGGGACATTGCTCCGTCCCTCAGTAAGAGATACAGGACATCTCGCCAGCACCTGCCCCCGCCTCTCCTCTGTGACAGCCACTCAGGAGGCCATTCATCTCATTCCCTCAGGACAGGACAGGACAGGACGGCAGCCAGCCAGCAGGCTGTGTTCCGGCTGCCAGTGCTGTTTCTGGGCCACGGCTGCCCTGGTGGTCAAGCCACGGCCATCTGTTGCTGTGATATTGAATATTAAGCCCCTTTCAACCACACCTGAGATTCCGAAAAAGAGGGGACTCTGGGAGGAGGGAGTCCAGTTGCCAGGGGAACAGGCACATACTTAGACAAAGGAGAGGAACTGAGGATCAAGCTGATCACCAATGACCGATGATTTAATCAATCGTGGCTATGTGATGGAAATCTGCATAAAACTCGATGGGCTGGTGAACACTTGGGGTGCTGGGGTGGGCTGGGGAGCATGGAAGATCTCTGCACCCCGCCCCCGAGGCGCCTCGTCCATGGGACTGTTTCTGACGAGTGTCCTTTACAATAAAAAGGTAAATTAAGTAACTGTATCCCCTGGTTCTGTGAGCTGTTCTAGCAAGTTGTCCAGCATGAAGAGTGGGGTGAGGGAACCCCAATTTGCAGCCAAGTCGGACAGAAGTGTGGATACCTAGACAGTGTCATGGGGGCTGTGCTGACCCCAGGTGTCATCAGACTCAGTTTTGCAGCACTGCTAAGGAAGTTGTCTAGTTCTCCATGATGACCACCTGCAGCACTTCGGTCTCCACTGTGTCCCTAACTGTCCTCTCTTCCCTTCCCAACACGGCTTGGCCATCCCTCTCTCGTTCTTGGTCAAAGCTCTCGAGTCCTGTCGATTTCACTTGCTGTTCAGAGACCTAACCCTGGGCTGTGCCTGCTCGCTGGGTCCTTTGTTTCTTCTTGGTCCTCAGCTGGTTCTGTTCTCTCTACCCCACTGTGCAGTGATCCTGTCCCTCACTCACAGTTACTTCCCAGTTCCCACTGCGCTTTTCCCCCTGGGAGCTCCCGGAGAGAACCAACGTGCAGTGTCTGTGCACACTGAAGCGTACGGTTCTATACGCTTGACATGTACCCAGGAGACCATCACCCCCAAGACCTTCCTCGAACCTTGTTCTGTTTCTTCCCTGCTGCCCCTTCTTCCTCTGGTCCCCACCCTGGGCAACTACGGGTCTCTTTCTGTCACTGTAGACGAGTCTGAATTTTCTAGAAATTTACATAAATGGAATCACACAGTGAGCACTTTTTTGGGGGCCTAGTTTCTTTACCCTGTATAATTATATTGAGATTTGTCCATGTTGTATGTGTATCCTTGTTTGTTATTGTTATTACTATCATTATGATCTGCTTGAATGGTACCCACTGCATGGAGATGCCATCATTGATCCCTCCCTGTACCACCGAGGCCACCTGGATGGCTTCCAGGTTGTGCCATTACAAAGGAAGTTACACGTTATTATACACTTGTCCGAATCCACAGAATGTACACCAAGAGTGACCCTAATGTAAACTGTGGATTTGGGGAGATTATAATGTGTCAGTGCAGGTCCATTGATTGTAACCAATGCACCCTGGTGGGGGATAGTAACTGGGGGAGGTTGTGCATGGTTGGGAAGGGTAGAGTGCATATGTGATTCTCTGTACTTTTGTCTTGCTTTTGTTGTCAATCTAAAACTGGCCATTTTAAAAAATCTTTAAAATGTAAGATGGTAGTTTTATATTGTGTGTTTTTTACCACAATACAAATAAATCAGTGGTATTTGTCTACATCAGCAGTAGTTACACAGAATATATAGCAGATAACAGGATAATCATCGCACTAACACAGAAAGTATACAGTTCTAGGACTTAATCTGTCAAAATTTGCCCAACAACTTTGTGAAAAACTATAAATGACATCAAGAAAAAATTTAAGATATAAAGAGATATAAAATATTTATGGATAAACTGATTTAACTTTATGTCAATTCTTTCCGATTCAATCCATAATTTCAATGCAATTCCATATAAAATCTCAGCAAGTCATCTGGAGACACTCGACAAGCCGATTCTAAAATATGTACAGAAGAACAGAGGTTCATAAAAAGCTACCAGATGTTTGAAAAACAATAAAGAATGGCAGTTTTATCCAACCAGATCTTTAAACACATTAAAATGTCAGAATAATAAAAACTACAAAATTTGTGCAATTACAGCTCACTTCAGACTAACACAGAATCGAGAGTCTAGAAACAGACCCCTCCTTGTGAGGGAGCTGAGTGTCTAACAGAGGTGCTTCATGGATCACGGAGAAGTACAGGTTATTCCATAGAACGGACTGGGAAAACGGACCCACTGTACTAAAATAAAGCTAAGTTATTACTTATAATACAAATGTATTAAAGACCTATGTGGCAGCAAAATGACAAAGGTCTTAGAAAGAAGTACAGGAGAATATTTTTGTCTTTCATTGGAGGAGGAATTTCTTAAATAAAATCCTGGAAGTACAAATCACAGGGGGACACATTAATGGATCAGGTTACATCAAAGCTTTGCAATCAAGATGGAAAAGGCATGAGATCCAGAGACAAATGGCCAGGAGGTAAACAGGACTTCGAAGGGGCAAGGTGGGTGGTCGGGATGACAGCGCTCCCGCTGAGAACAGAACATAAACTAAAACGCAGAAACGTGGGGAAGCCAACCTCCCACAGTTCGCAGGTCGGTGTCAGTGTTTGTGGAGAGACCGCCTGGGTCCGCCTGACAGCACTCTGTGAGGTTCCACACGGGTAGAACCCCGGGGCAGCAAGGCCTTTAATGACTGTTTATGGGATTTCAGGCTGCAGGGGAAGGGAGTTCGGGGAAATGCACTATCCTTCAAGAGGGAATGGACACTACGTGGCCACAACTAGGCTGCAGAAGCAATCAATGGGCTGTTTATGACAGCATCAGAGAGAGTCCCCCCAACACTGGGGTGAAGGAAAATACAGGACACAGAATGGGATTCGAAACATAATACCATTTCTGTACACTAACAACATACACACATTTTTCAAGGACACACACACAGAGAAAGCGTATAGAAAGTGAATACAAAGGGCATTTAATGAGTAAACACACCATGCGGGCACCTATGCGGGTGGGAATGGGCCGCTGTAAGGTTAATTTAGCTCCGGGTCCCTGAGGTTCCCTGACAAGTTGGAGAAAGTCAAGACAAAAGGCTCACAAACAGTGACAAGATGGGCACACGTGTGTCGGCTCCCACAGATGTCGGGAGGCCCTTGGACCCCTTTGCCAGGGGCACGGAGAGCCCTCAAGGGGAGGAGATTTCTGTTTTACATGCTTTCTGACTACTGACCTCTGCCATCTGCCCACGTGACGTGTTTGAAATAAACGTTTGTTAAAAGATAAAGAACTACTGGAACTGACCAGTACCTGAAGAAACAGGGTTTCTAAAGTCTTCCTTGGACGCAGGCTCCTACAAGAATAACGCTCATCAGGGGAATGCAGACCCGACAGGTGCTTGCAGCACCCCAACCTCACCCTGCTCACCAGCAGGCGCTCCGGGTGCTCAGAGCTCAATGCCTGTGACGGGTGTTACATTATTTTTAAAATGTAAATACCAGTTACCCCCGATATCAACTGAATAGTGAGTAGGACCATTAAAGTTGCCTCCATGATGAACAAGGGAACCTCTGCGCTTTCTCTGGGAGCGAACCGTTTCACTGTGCTTCCACACGGAACACATCTGTTCACCCCCGAAGCCCACACGTACAATTATAACAAAGGGCGAGGCGCAGGTTTGGAAGAACGGCAGTGGGCAGCCTGGAGCCTCCTGGGTAAAGGTTCACCTTCAACCCTGTAGCGCCTCAGTGTGTCAAAGAATGCGGGGAACACTGGCGTGGAGAAGGGGGGCGAAACCCAACTGTTCTGGACGCCAGCAGGGGTGACAGGCACAGTGAGGAGGGCCAGTGCCCACAGGGGCAAAGTGGGTGTGCCCGGGAACCAGCAGGGCTGAGCCTGGCACAGTGAGGAGGGCCAGTGCCCGCAGGGGCAAAGTGGGTGTGCCCGGGAACCAGCAGGGCTGAGCCTGGCACAGTGAGGAGGGCCGGTGCCCGCAGGGGCAAAGTGGGTGTGCCCGGGAACCAGCAGGGGTGACCGGCACAGTGAGGAGGGCCGGTGCCTGCAGGGGCAAAGTGGGCGTGCCCGGGAACCAGCAGGGGTGACCGGCACAGTGAGGAGGGCCGGTGCCCACAGGGGCAAAGTGGGTGTGCCCGGGAACCAGCAGGGGTGACCGGCACAGTGAGGAGGGCCAGTGCCCACAGGGGCGAAGTGGGTGTGCCCGGGAACCAGCAGGGGTGACCGGCACAGTGAGGAGGGCCAGTGCCCACAGGGGCAAAGTGGGTGTGCCCGGGAACCAGCAGGGGTGACCGGCACAGTGAGGAGGGCCGGTGCCCACAGGGGCAAAGTGGGTGTGCCCGGGAACCAGCAGGGGTGACCGGCACAGTGAGGAGGGCCAGTGCCCACAGGGGCGAAGTGGGCGTGCCCGGGAACCAGCAGGGGTGACCGGCACAGTGAGGAGGGCCAGTGCCCACAGGGGCAAAGTGGGCGTGCCCGGGAACCAGCAGGGGTGACCGGCACAGTGAGGGTTGGGTGCCGGGGCCTTACCGTGCCATCTTGTCGCTGCAGGACATGGTGAGCAGCCTCTCCCCCTGCAGCACCCCGTCCCACGTCTGGATGCTGGCGTTCGAGCGCACCGGGATCGTCCCCTCTCCGGATTCTATCTTCGTCCGCAGCTGTCCCCGGGCTTTGCGATTTGGATGTCTGTCTGCTGGTTCTGGGAGAAGGAAGCCACCGGTAGGGACCGTCTGTTTCACTCCATGCGAAGCACATCTAACTACAGCCTATACATTCACCAGCTTACTCCTCTGTGCATATGGCTATTCTACATCTATAGGATGGAAGCACAGTACAAGTGTATAAAATTGGACAGGATGGATGTAATACAAACCAAATCCACGGAAGTGGCCTCCGTAGGGTTGGGGAAAAGAGGGCTTCCATTTGAACCAGAGCAATCGATTTCCTTTGTTAAAGAGGAGCGGGAGCAAACAGGACAACGTGCTAACACATTGTTCATTCTAGGTGTTGGATATTTGGATGTTTGTTATATTTTCTCCCGTATTTTAAAATTTCATAGAGGAAGCCAAAGGGACGCAGAAAACGTCCATAGAGACTACCTCTGGCCATAGTGACTGCCACAGGTTATTTAAATTTTCTTTCTTATTTTAAAAATATTTAGCAATTTCCCACAGTGGGTATATGTTGTTTTTATAATCAAAAAGGAGAACACAATCAAATGTTCTATTTGGAACAAATAATGTTTAAGCTTGGGGGAAGAGATGCAGACACAAATCCATGTAAAAAGAAGAACTAAGTCATTTGCAGAAAAGGGTGGAAAATGTGACAGGAACAGGGTATCCCTTTCCATTAGTCTGAACCTGCTTCTGGAATCTCGGCCAAATACTCCAATTACACATTTCCTAAGTTACAATTCATCAGAGAGATGGACGGAACATGTACATCTCTGATGTAGAGACACAGTATCCAAACTGAAGGGCTGAAAACAATTTAGATCTGATATCCTCACTCTATTCCAATGACACAGTTTATTAGAATCAACCTTTTCATTCATTAAATGAAAGTGTGTTAGCATTTTGTCCTATTTTCTCCCACTCCTTTTTATCAAAGGAAATCAATCGCTTTGTTATTCATGGAAAAGTAAAACGGAGGTTTTTATATAGTCCTCAGATGCACGTGACCATGAATCTGGAGAAACCGCTGACTATCAGGACACCTGGCCATACCTTCCAGTATCGGTTCGTGGGGTGAGAAAATTCTGGCGTCCCCACAGGGAGAGGTGCTGATGTACAGATGGAACTGGACAGTGTCCTTCAGCCTCAAACCTCCCCGCTCGGACTTCTGGAAGATGGACTTTTTTTGATCATCTTTGTTACTGAAAGGAAACAAGTTGCATAATAAACTTTCTAGCTGCGTGCAGTCAGAAGTCAGTCTGTCCCAGCTCACAGTGACCTTCAAAGGCCTGTGTGTTCAATGGGGTGAAGAAAAGCTTGTACTGGAATCTTATTCTACATGTTTATGGTAGTTTACACAGTTCCTGTCGGCTCAACAATGGATATGCCATCGAAAGGCAAGCATTTCGCCTTTCCTTCTCATTTCTGACTTCAAGCAGAATGACTATGTGTAGAGATGGCTTTATAAAGAAAAGCAGTTTAAATACAGGCTGGGCTAATTTTCAGCCTGAGACTAGAATAAAAATGACCATGGTTCCCAGGCAGTGGGGTTCTATTGACCATGGTGCATGAAACAGGAGTATGGGGTCTGAGCACAAACCTGAAACCTATGGTGCTATTATGTAAGTGTGCATGTGTGGATGTGCACATCTGTACACGTGTATATATGCATGTGTGCTGTAATTTAGCCAACTCTGTAGCTTGAGCATTATGGGAAAATGGGACCCAACCTCCCTGTTACTGACAAAGTTGCTATTTTGAGAAGTTCTCAGTGAAAGCTTTGCAGTGTTTTCTGATGGGGGCAATACTTATTAAAACAGCTTCCTTTGCTTACTTACTTACTAGACTTACTTTAGGTAAAGCTCAAGCTGTGTATAAAGGAATCTAAGCAAGGACCTCCGAGATATGATCTCTGCGTGGCAGTCATTCAAAGCAAGGCCACGGTCACTCATGTACTCGCCGTTAATGCATTTCGTTCCTGTGGAAACACATATCACCTTGGCGTCTTTAACATCTGTGCCTGGAAAACAAGAGAGACCATTTGTCTAAGTCACAGCCGTGCGCCCGCCTGCGCCCCAGGCCTGGCAGAGTGCAGCCACATCCCCACGCCCACCACCGCCTGGACGGCAGGCCTCCCAGAGCACGAGCGATGATTCTGCTGGAAGTCCACTATCCTAGTCAGCGGGAAGGCTCTAAACCAGCGGTTCTCACCTGTGGGTCGCGACCCCTTTGGGGGTTGAACGACCCTTTCACAGGGTCACCTAAGACCATCAGAAATATGTTTTCCGATGGTCTTTGGAAGCGAGACACGGCTCCCCTATCCGTCTCCCGGTGGGTCTGCCCAAGTGCAGATATGCCCACACACCACATGAGGAACTGGACTGAAGTCACGGCATTAGGAAGGTTGAGAACCACTGCTCTAAATGAAAGGAGGTTTCTTCCTCTGCAATGTGACAGTCTTTCCCCACAGTCCCTGTCAGACAGGCAGGAAGCACTATGTGAAGGTAGACGACGAGGTCTGGTCATTAAACTTGAAATAGCAAAGCACTAACGAGGCGATGGGAAGGGACAAGAAGGAAAATGAGTCATTCACAGTCTGCTGGGTAGGAGTCCCTGTCACCCCTCGAGAAGCTGGAGTGAAACCCTCAGCACCGGGAAACCTCCGGAAGAGCGACACTCTGATGGTCACTCTGTGGACAGACAACGTACCACGTCACCAAGTGTAAACCGCACCATCAGCTGCAGAGCAGTGTGTCACCCGAGGCGGGCACTGTGCTGGGTCTACCAGGCAGGGCATCCTCATTCACCCCCACATCCTTAAGGTTACGCTACCACTGCCTTCATTTCACATACCAGGAAACTGAGGCACAGAGCGGTCAATAACCTGCCCAGAGTCATTCGCCAAGCGGAGGCGTCTGCGCGCTGCCCAGTCCTGCCCGCACAGGTACACTCTGCGCAGCGTCCCACGTGGGATTCACGCTGCGGTGCCGGCGCTGCCATGTGGCACCTGCCTCTTCTACAGTGGTGAGAAGAGCGGGCGACAGAGCCGCCAGCCCGCGCCCTGGCACGCTGGGACCACAGAGCTGCTCAGGGGGCTGCTGCACCAGCAGGGAACCGCTCACCTTTTGTTACGTCAACAGTGCGAGCACAGAGAGCAGAGGGAGTAAAACGCAGGCACCAAACATCGGACAAAACCTGAGGCCCACGTGAACGTCAGTCTTCACCCGCCCCTCAGACACAGCTCGGCTGTGCCAGCAAGCACACGTCACAGGGAGGATGCTGGGGATTCCCTCGCGTTCCTGGGGCGTGGGGTCAGCGCTGAGGATGACAGAATCATGCCCGTTCCTGTCGGACAGAGAACTGCCTCGGGGGAGGAGGACAGCACAGCCACCTACACGAAGGGCTGGGGTCTCTCTGGCTGGTTGGGACAGACAGGCCGTCCCCAGCCCCTTGCTCCCTGGCCCCCGGGCCTGCTCCCTGTGCATGCTGTGGAGGCTCCAGCAGAGAGGGCCCCACGGACAGGGCAGGGTCCTCCCTCCAGGCCCCTGCTGCCCCTCCGCAGGGCTGGGCCCTGGTCAGGCTGCGGCTTCCTGGTCCTAGGAGTCATCCAGAGATGCAGCACGCGGTCCCACTCCCAGGCGTGGGTGGAGGGCCAGGGGAAGGGTTCCTTCCGCGAGGGGAACTTCCAGACAAATTAAACAGGGTTCTTCCTACAGTCCCAAACCGTGCTTTCCCCCCACAGATTTTCAGCTCTTGCTAGGGCTTCCTCCCTGCCCCACAAGCCTCATAGAAACCTACCTGGCGGCATGAACACTAACTGACAAATCAGATACGTCCTACTTTCCACGAAGCAGGAATGAATGAGTCCCTGCAGTTTTCCCAGCAGACGCAGACACTCACACACGACTATAAGATTCCGACATTAACACAGGGTGCTTCTCCAAGTGAAAGCAACTTAGGTTGAAAAGATGAACATTTAGGAGAAAAATGTAAGTACAGTTCCCACATTTGCAGACGGCAGACATTCTGAAGAAGAAAAACACGATTTTCCTGTTAAGAGCCAGAGATTTTTATAGGGCAAGATGTTTACCTGTTGTCATGACGATTCCAGCAAGAACCTTCCTGCGTGCGTGGGGGGAGGAGAAGTTCTCCGTCAGATCACCGAACTTATCCAGAACCAGGCGGGCCACGGCATCGGCTAACACCTGAGGACCACAGCAGGGGTTAGGGCTGCACCTGCCTGTGAACACTAGGGTGATGGCACAGATGGCTTCTCTTCTGGAGAATCCCACAGTCAATCTGACAAACAAGGGTGTGCATGCATGCGTATGTGTGTGTGTTTCCTCCAAAACACTCCTAGGAAACATACATCCAATGAGCATGAACTACCATGGCTGGAATCTTTCAACAGGGTCTGGAGGGCAGGGACAGCCCAGAGCCGGGCTGCGAGGGAGCCCTGCTGCCCCTCTGGTCCTCACAACACACCAGCCTTGCCCTCCAGTGAGGACGTGGAGGCGTGGGGCGGCCAGTGTGACTTCCTAGGTCATCTGCCTCCCCCTCCACTGCTCTGCTGCCCAGGCTCTCCACGGGTCCAGCTCAGGCTGGCAAGGCTGGGGAGCACGGGCCGGAGAAAGGGGCAGTGAGAAGCGTGGCCAAATTAAAGAATCACAAGCTTTGCACGGTGCCTCCTTCTGAAAGGCTCACCCATCAGATCCGTCTCAGTTATTTCAACACCTAAGACAAATCACCCTGGCTCAGCCCTCTCTCCCGATCCAGCACCGATCAGCGCCTGTGGGGCGGTTACCACGTAGGCCGAGTGCTCAAGGGCAGGTGCTCCGGGAGCACTGTCCTCCAGGGAGTGCTTCTTAGGAGCACCTTTACATTTGGGACAGGTCTTATTTTTATGGCCCGTGATTTTTACCGCGATGAAGCGAGCCCACGGTGTTCTGGGAAACGGTGCTAACAGGTGTGTGTGGAAAGAGTCACACTGGGTCCATGTCACCCCAGTATCACACTTGCCTTGACAATCAATGGCCACATCTAGTGTCCCCAGCTTGGCCCTTAATAAAGACCCCCAAAATGAACAGAAAAGTCATTCATCCCAAATCATGGCTTATTTGGAAAAAGCATAGTTGTCAGGAAGTTTGCCTCCTGTCATTATTCCAGCAAATTCAAGTGAGCCCCAGGGGACAGTGCTCAAGACCAGCCGCAGGGAGAGTGGGCAGAAGGTCCAGGCGGGGCCCACAGGCCTCACCTGGCACCTTGGCGGAGGCATCAACGCTACAGATGTGAACACAGGGAAGGGAGTCAGACCACAGACAGAAATATGTGCGACCACACGATGGCGAGGGCCACGAAAAAGGGCGACATGTTCCATCTTACGTGGAAGGGAGAATTACTGGAAGGTTAAGGACAGCCAGAGGAGGTAAGAATTCTGGCGACAGACGGTGAAGCAGAGCTGCTCATTTTCAGAGAAAAGCACGAGTTTCACCCGCGTTCAGAGGCACCCGGTGGAGGCCGGCACTTCGCACACTCACTCCTGCGCGCACTCATTTGTGCGATGCACTTGCTCACAGAACACTCTTCCTTCCCCTTGGCCAGGTTACTACCTCCTCCTCCGGTGATGAAGCGCCTCTCCCTCTGACCCAGGGCAGACATGACGCGTGCTCCGGTGGCTGCAGCTGCAGCGCCGCCTCCGGCAACCACCGGGCGCTTTAACAGCCTTCACTGCTCACAGGGCGTTTCGCACTCATCATGTGGTCCACGTTGCCGCTTTTTAAAGCCTCTAGTGCCACTATGAACACCATGAAGGCAACGATTCATAAGACCCGGGACGTTTGACCCAAGTCCTGCACGGGTTACTCTCGGGAACTTAAGGACTGACACCCCTCTAGATGTGCATTTACATTCCAGGGGAAGACAACAAGCCCAGACTTGGCCCGACTTTTTGAAGTCACCCCCAGGTCCTCCAGGAAAATAGGTTACTGGAGTCACAGGGGGTCTCTGGGAGACACAATGGGGCTACTGTGAGCAGAGACTGGGGGGCAGATCCAGTTACACTCCCCCAGGCCTCACTGGCCTCAGCAACTGCAGAACCTGGGCAAGTGGTGTGGCTGGGGCTGGAACGGCCCCTCCCCCCACGCCCTGTAGGATTCTCAGACACCCTCCCCAGAGAGGCTGCCAGGCCCCGCCCTCCCGGGGGCTCCGTCACTGCTCCACTGAGCTGGCCTGGGGCAGGAGCGGACACACACACACACACACACACACACACACACACACCTCCCTCTGCCTCCCCACCAAGCTGTACTGTGAAACCTGGCACCTGGGAGGCAGAGCATTCAGTACGACTTCCATTCTCTTACATACGACCCTGTTCACATGCGAGGAAGACAGGTTAAGTCAGACATTGTTTAGAACTCAGGCTGAAATAGTTTGGCAAATCATAAACCTGAAAATAAAAAATCATTTCAGAACTAGTGCCACTGATTTGTAAAACTTTGAATGGATTGATATAAAGAGATTAACAATGGGAAACAATTATTTGGTTCATGAAAAAATCAGTACATTACCTTGAGCATGTTATTTTATACTGATGCTGTATTTGATTGCTTTAGACAAAATAAAATAAATCTCCTTCTTTTAAGACTGAGAACCTTGGCCACCTCAGAGGACAACTGCACAGGTTACTCAAATGGTTCAAAGGAGAGAGAGAAGCTGACACTCTCGGTCCTTCTAAGAGAATACAGGCCAACCCGTCTATTAATACTGCATTCTTCATTTTTTCTGATCAAACCATTATATATTTTATCTTCAAACTGAATAATACTTTCACAAGGAGAAATAAACACAGAAAAAGGTTAGGTTTTCTCCCTAAAAGACTGATTTTTACACTAGACCAGATAATTTTGGATTTATGAGAAAAGAAGCAATAAATAATCAGAGTTGTAGGTTTGGAGATGACGCTAAGGGCTACTTCTCCTTCGGTCTTCGTCCCCCTGAACATTTCCCTCTGTTCACCCTGATTTGAGGTGGGTGGGGGTCCAAGACCAAATGTGAGAGTGGCTGCCCACTCTGGCCAGCGGGAGGGAGCCTCACGAATCCCACGTGAGGAATCCCAGGTTCAGAGAGATCCGGGTACCTGGTGGGCCCTGGAGCACTTACTTAAGGGACCCCTGCACCTCTTGCACCTCTGACGCGTGCTCAGGAATGCGGGAGCCCTGACACCCTTGCCCTTGGCTTTCAGTGGCTGATTGGCCAGACTCACTTCTCTTGTGTCCAGAGTCCCAGTGAGACTTAGGAAAACACCCTGGGCTGGGGCAGGTTCCCGTGTTCAGCTCCCTTCCCTCCTTGTCCCTTCCCTCCTGCTATGGGATGCCCCTCACACCCGCAGGGCCGGCTACATGGGGAGGGAATGTGGACTGTGTTTTGGAGTGAGGCTCAGCATGGCAGGGCTGACAGCGCTGCTCCGGGGTCCCCACCCTGCGCCGTGATGGCCTCAGGCTGGCTCTCCAGGGACCACGCGTTCATCACCATCTAGGAAGGCTGCCCGTACTGGTAACTGTGGCGCGGACAGAGTGACATGAGATGGAAAGTCAACACGATAATGAAACCAAGTCCTGTCTAAAAGCATGATCGAGGCAGGACCAGACTGTTCCTCACCTGGGGTAAGTGCAACTGGAGGCCCTCGCTGGGGATAGGCTGGCGAGACGGCGTTTGGTCCAAGTGCAAATTAAAAACGGTGGCCAGGGCAGACTGCGCGGCCCGGGCTTTGGCCAGCTTCTTGTTCCTCCCCGAGCCTTCGAAGAACTGCCCGTCCACGACCACAGACATGACAAAGTTCTTGGCGTGGCTCTCCCCGCTCTCTGAGAGGAAGTCGTACTTCAGACCTGGGCGCAGCTCATTCAAGATCATCACAGGGTTCTTCCCGCTGGGCGGCGGGAACGGTGGGGGCACCGGGAGGGGAGGCTGGGCAAGGCTGGCGGGCACCGGGGACGCTGACAAGCTGAGGTCCCCGCTGGAGCTGAAGGAGTCGTCGCCCCCGTTGGAGCCCATGTAAAATGGCACTTCCGACCTGTCCGGCGTCTCGAAGCCATTGAAGAGTGTGTCGGGGAAGTCGGCCTGGTCGGACGTGAAGTCCGTGTTGGCGGACAGGCTCCTCCCCATGGCCAGGTGGGCCTCTGACGCGTTGGGGAACTGGACGAAGGACCGCAAGGCCTTCTCGGCCGCGTGCAGCTTGGCCTTCTTCTTCGTGGGGCCAGAGCCCTCAAACACCTGCCCGTTCACCTCGACGGACATGACGAAGAGCGGCGCGTGCACGGGCCCCGTCTGGGACAGCAGCGTGTACTGCAGGCCGGGCTTGATTTCGTTCAGCTGCATCAGAGCGTTCTTGGGCAGGGCCGGCCCGGGTGCCCTCCTCCTCTTCTTCAGACGGAACTTGGCATGCCCATTGCTGCCCTCGTCCAGGGGCCGCTTCCTGCCGACGATGCCACCACCCCCGTTGGGGAGCAGGTAGCCATCAGCTGGCCCCGGAGTGCTGCTGTCCCCAGGGGGCCCGTGGTCCACACTGCAGCTGTCCTTAGCCTCTGTGCTGCTTGAACCTGCGGTGCCCAGAAAGAGCAACTTACAACGCCTTCGTTGCAGGATCTTGTAAATGCAAAATTTATAGATTCCTTTATCTCTCTTTGTAACTGGGTAAGTGATGTGTGTTCTATATTACTGCTGGCTACACATAGGAGGGACTGCACATTTAACTACGGACTCATGGCCTCAGCTGAAATGGGTAATCTGACATTTCGCTGAATAATGGCTGCTACCATTTCTACTTAGTATCACCAACTGCTTTTGCATTAAAAGGTGAATTTTAAAGTAATTTTTATGAGAATATTCTGAAGAATTAAAGTATGGGACAATAAATTTGTCCAGAAGATCTTACATAATAAGTCTAGTGTCAGTATTAACAGATTTCATTTATTTTGGTCTTTTCCCATTTTTCAATGGCATTTACTCTCATATAGCATCTCCCAGAAGAGGTAACATATTTAAAAGCAGCATTTACAGGTTGATTAGTTTTCAAGGTTCAAGATATTCAATCAATTTGTGCAGTTATTTGATTTAGTTCATGACTCAATCTTAGAAATCTGCTTATGTAATTAAGTAAAGCATTCTGGGCATTTAGAAATGATTTTTGAAGGATACAGCTTCATTTCCAGTATTCATTTAAAGTTTTTTCACTACATATGGGGACTGATTTATCTCTGAATCCTTAATACATTCCACAATAGAAAAAAGAAGAAGATATAAAATTTAAGCTGTAGGCAGGCTTCAACTACCTAACTGAAGCCTGAAATTCTCTTTTTTAAAAGAACAAATATTTGATGGATTTACAGAATAATTTGGTAATTCTTCCTTTTAAAGGTAGTTTATAGTTAATGAAGATAATTTTAGGACTCTGTAAATTCATGGCAAAAGAGAAAGATTTTAATTTCAAAAGAGGGAATAATAAAGCATTTACTCTTTCCTGTAAGTTTATCAAACTTTTTAGAAAAGAGAATAAATAACTCCACTTCCCCGGCTGATTCCCACAGGCCGTCTTGCACGTGAAGCGCAGGAGCAATGATCAGAGCGTCAGGATGCTGCCACTGTATTTAAAGACCTACTGCTAGCTTTAGAAAATCCACAATAAATCTTTTAAATATTTTTTATAATGTATTTTTTATAATGTAAACCAATTTACAGGTGCCCAATGTGGGGGCCAGGGTCTATTTCAACAACATCATGTAAAAGCAGACTCATCGTGCTAATAAGCAAATGTCACCGGCTCTACCCATGGGAGGGCTTTGTGTGACGGAAAGTCTGGGTCACTGGCTGCCAAGGCCGCGGTGAAAGTCCTCGCATTTCCCAGGCTGTCAGCATTCAGCCAGGTGTAAAGAATGACCCTGGTTCCAAACAGCCCACGGGAGAACCGGCGCCATCCTGCGGCAGAGATGAGCCCAGGTGCACTTGCTCTGCAGACAGCACTTCTCCAGGTCCTGACACACACACCACTTCTCCCAGTTGACAAAGCTGATGGAATAGACACTAAATTTTCATTTATAACATCCTCCAGCAAAAGCTCGATAGGTTACTCCTTTCGGTGCTCAGAGGGAACAAAAGGTGAAAAGGGCAGAGCGAGACAGGTTAGAGGAACGAGCAGCAAGGGCGTCACACAGATGGTCATTGGCGTGCCGGTGTTTCTGCTAAACAGAACTAGCAATGTAGACGCTCAGATCATCATAAATATATTCTGACATGCACGTCACAAGATATTTACAACCTCCAACAACCAAATGCTTTCCTTTAAGGGGTAAAAACAATCAGTATTGAATTGACTCTCTTGAGATTATAGGAAAAAATGCACTTTCTATAACAGTTCATGTAAATTCTGTTCTTATTGCTTCAGAAGCACTGAAGTACCACTCACATTCTGTCTTATTAAAAACGCTACTATGGCCCTGGCCAGTTTGGCTCAGCGGTTGAGCGTCAGCCTGCAGACCAGAGTCCCGGGTTCGGTTCCTGCTAGGGGCATATACCACAAAAATAAATTAAATAAATAAATAAATAAATAAATAAAAAATGCTACTATGTAAAGACAAAACATTAAAATTGGAGAAAGACATTCCCACCATCACCACTCTTCTTAGTCGCTCTCTCTTTACATATCGTGCTACTTTGTTTCATAAATGTGACTGATCACGATAACAGTTGTTGCTTTTGAAATGACAGAAAACATAGGACTGGCATGGCTAAGTTTTAGCACTTGAAACAGCAGCTTATCTTTCCAGAAAAATATTCAGAAGGAAGGATTCTTTACCTAAGTTACCAGAGGATCAGTCTAGGGACAGTTATAGAATCTACACTGCGTGATGTTTCCACTCAAACCAGATGACCCGCTGTGGACAGCCCCCAGTCCCACAGAAAGGAGGCTGGGGCACACTCGAACACGCACTCATCAGGGGGAACGGTGTGTGGGCAAAACTGGAGATGGTGAGTGGCACCGACCAGTGAAAAGATATGGGTGGTTCTAAAAGGACCTCAGGAGTAGGCTCTGCTGGGGACGTCACCCTGAGGAAAGCCTCCATCAGGCCACCAGAGGCCACGCACAGGTCAGCAGGAGGAAGGGCACAATGTCATGTGCTTCTCATAGCGACTGGTCAGTGGCTCATGCTGGCATTCATCCCACAGGGACTGAATTCAGCCAGAAAGCGGCTACTGTGCGGTTCATATAACCAGGACCCAGCCCACCCCGCATCATCCACAACCCAACTCATGGAGCAGCCTGCGGGCGGGCAGGGCAGTCTGCTGCGTGAACCTCTGGGCGATCTAGGTAGACAAGCCAACTCCAAGGCCTCAGCCGGCCGCTTTGGGTGAAGTCACAGAGAAATGGACTGAAGCATGTTCTGGTCATTGATGACCACTCTTAGGAAATGTCACTCATCATTTAGATCTGCATGTTCTTTCTTGGGAGCAACTGAACACAGACAGTAAGAATGTACATATATATACATGTAGTATAAAAAGGATGTCTTTGTTGCAATTTCTCTACTGAAAGCTCCCAACTTCTGTGGGAACATTTATGCCTCATTTAAAAGCACTGCTCTCTGGGATTAAAGATAAAGGAGAAGAGAAGTATGTTCACTGAAACCTTCACAGAGAACAACGTTGAGAGAGGAAGCGGGCATAGCTCGGAGCCTCTCCATCCCCTCTGTCCCTTCGCCCTGGATGACAGTGGAAAGAAGGGGCCCAGGGTGCTCCAGACCACACCAGTCCTATGACTCATTAAAACCTGGAAACTTAAGATCAGTAGATTCATGTGAGCTCTTTACCTAAAAATGTGGGAGAATCCACTGCATGTGAACAGAAAATGTATGTACTGTTATTTCAAATGGCCAGCTATTTAAATCCACCTCAAAGCTTATCTTAGATTTGCGCAGATGGAAGTCTGGCCGCCATCATGACACCAAGGCTGTGACTTGGCGCTAAGCACGAAGCTTCATGAGCTACACACCCAGAGCACTCCACTCTCTCCTTCCAGGCAAGTGCGTCACGGCCCAGGGCGACAACCAGAGGCGACTACCCTACACACATGGCTGCAAGGGAGATGCTCGCGGTCAACAGAGAATGCATCACAAATGAAAACCACGCCACTGCTTGCAGCCCTATCACAGAAGTTCATTTCCCCCAAAGTGGCCCCATCACATAAACTCCCAGGGACACTAAGACTAATGGAAAACCAGCTACTTGACACTGCATGGCAGGCCTAGGTCTTACTCAGGTTTTCTTCATCTTCTAGATCCATGGCAAAATACTTTGCAGTGTTTCTTGACTGGCGGAGACTGTTTCTGTCTGAAAGACAGCAAGAAGATCACAGTTAGTGTGCCCATCACATGAGCAATCTGGGGCTAGTCTCCTTGGCAGAAACGATGCCAACTGATCACAGACTAAAGGCAGAACTCATGGAACCATCCGGACAGATGTTCAGATGCCCCCACCTCTTCAGCTCAGTCCACCGCTGGACCCCAGAGGGCTCTGCTGCAGGGAAGGATGGCTGGGGTGGGGAGGGGTCCAGGAGCATGATGAGGCCACTCTGAGCAGGGTGGCCTCGATTCCAGGGGTGGGGTGATGGGGAGCTCCAGACCAGGGAGAAAGGCGATGGTGTTTACATCCTAGAGCTCTCCTGTAGGAGGGACCAGAGACACATCACATTGCAGCATGACCACAGAGACCAAACAGGACTCCTTGAACATTCGCCATTTGATCTTGGCTCTGGCAGGCTTCTGGTTTGGGCTATAACACAGAGCTACAAAGGAAGAAGAAGCACCTACAACATTTCACTTCACTACTCCTTCTTCTTGAGCCACACCTCATGTGGATGAATCCAAAAAGCAGGTAATTGTGAAAATCAGATCAAACTGCTTGGATATGTATAAGATTATTTTATTAGCAGGAGAAACCAAAGGAAATCCTCAAAGAACAATTACTCCAATTATCTAATTATTATCAAACTTAAGAGTTTCCTTTTTCTAAATAGTTTGGCTATACTTTGCAAAATTTTACTGACACATAATCTGTAATAAAAGATCCCATCAAATTGTAATTGAGAAAAAAGATTTGCAAATTTTGTAGCCACACATTGCTTTGTATACAAATAAAACTGATATCAGAAATCACTAAAAGTAAAATTCATTGCTTTTAAGAAAATAGTGATTGAAGTGAACTAAGGCATGTATATATCTTATAAACATCTCTCATATAGCAAATATTTAAAATATATAGTTTTTGTGTCAACCATTTGTTAATTATGTTGAATCTCATCATGTAGCTGATAAATTTGTTGCTAAAAGTTAAATGAGTTTCTATTTAGAATCCTTTATTCAAGAGAGTGTTCCAGATAGTTTTAGAAGGATTATTACTTTATAGTCATAATTATGACTAGATATGTTTTCTGGAAACCTACTCCATGCAAAGCACAGAACCTGAAATGAATCAGACAGATTTTATGTTGGAGAAATTAAATATAAATACCATCTGGATAGTTGATTATATTTAGGAGATCTTGTTCATTTTAGGTGTGAAAAAAGTACTTATCTTTGAGTGCTGCTAAAGTATTTAGAGATGAAATGGTAATACCTGGGTGTTATTATTATTATTAAATATGGGGGAAACGGAGATGATGTACAGTTGAAACGTACAGAACAACGACCGTGGCTGGCCGTTGCTCAGGCTGGCTGACAGGCAGGTGGATTCATTCTGCAATTCTGTATCTGTGTGTGTTCTACAATTTCCATTCCGGAAAGGTTTAATAAGGAGCACTTTCCCTGAGGTCTAGAAGGAGCGCTAAGAAGGGCAGAGGTGCAGGAGCTGCAGCTGCTCCGCGGGCCCCTGGGCTGCAGAGTCAGGTCGGAAGCTGGGCCCTGGTGGAGAAACTGAGCCTGGAGGAGCGGGCGCTCAGGCACAGCACGAAGCCAGGAGGCAGGCGGTGTGCGGTAAAGACAGAGGCTATGTGAGGAAGGCAATCGCAAGCACTTTGGAAAAACCCAAACTGTCAATTCCGGAAAGAGCACAATTGCCAAAGCACTCTGCTTCTCTTCGATGACCCCTGGTTTTGAAACAGGCAGCAGGGACTTACACAGGGGAGCAGATGGCTTTTGCCCTTTCCTCCCTCACTACAAGTGAAGACTCTGACCCTACATATATAGGTGGAGGGAAGAAGGCGGCCTGTTGGGACCCAAGGGATGAGACAGCATAGGTCCCCTGGTCTTCTTTCTGTGTCATCATCCCAGACTTGGAGCTGAAGAAGCCAGAAACTTGGGAACACCAATGGGCACAGACCAAAAATCCCCAACAAATGCTGCTCTCTCTGACAAAGGACCAGGACAGATTCCTCCCTGCGGGACAGGAAGTGGCAGACAGAACTGCCCTACTCCAGCTAGATCTCCCGCCCAGCAGGGCCCAGGGGGAGCCACGACTCTCCTTCCCTCTCACCCTGCAGAGCCAGGGAGAACATGAGGAGGCTGGGCTTCCATCCCGCCTGTAACAGGGTAGGCGAGGTGCCCATCCTCCCCTGCGGGGTATTGGAGGAGGCCCAGTGGAGGGTCAGGACTCTCACGCCCCCTACCCAGCAGTGTCACTGGAGCCACAGAGGGGCCACAGAGGCCTGAGGGGAACCTGAGGCGGCGCTCCCCTCCCTTAACAGAGTGGCATGAGTGACAATCAGCTAACACAAGTGTGTAAGTAAGATTTAGAGTCTTGGAACATAGTGTGTCCAGGTTTCAATAAAAAAATCATCCATCATACCAAGAGCCAGGAAGATCTCAAACTGAATGAAAAAAGACAATCAACAAACGCCAACCCAGAGACGTTGGAACCGTCTGAGGTTTTAAAGCAGCCGTCACAAAGAAATGTGAGGAACCAGTCTAACTGATCTCAACACCCACTAGATGGTGTCAGTCATCAAGACAGCATGGCATTGCGGGGGATATACAGACAGCCACCTGGGACAGACAGAACCCAGGACAGGCCACAAGTACATGGCTGATGGCTGGCAAGGCAGGAAAGCAGTTCAATGGAGGAGGGGCAGCCTGGCAACAGACGGTGCTGCAGCCACCAGCACCCAAGTCTCACACCACCGGGCACCCAAGTCTCACACCACTGGGCACCCAAGGGTCACACTAACACAAAAATGCACTTGAGATGGACCAGGAGCTTGGTGTGAAACATAAAACCACAAAACCTATAGAAAAATCATAGGAGAAAATCCTGGGGACCTTGGGCTAGGCAGAGCACACCTAGGCAGACTCAACACCAAAAGCACAATCCATAATGTAAATCGGATTTTTGATAAATTGGACCTCATCAAAATGAAATATTTTTTCTCTGCTAAAGACCCTGTTAAGAAGATGAAGTGACAAGCTATAGACAGGGAGAAAATACCTGAAAACCACACATTCAACAGATGAAACACACAAGAAATTTTCAAAACTCAACAATAAAATAAACAATCCAATTATAAAATAGGAAAAAGACATGAAGAGACATTTCACTGAAGAGGATATTCAGATGGAAGAAAAGTACATGAAAAGATGTCAGTATCATTAGCCAGCAGGAAACTACAACTTCAATCCACGTGGGATACCACTGCACACCTCTGAGAACAGCCGAAATGAAAACCATGACGACCCCAAATGCCAGCAAAGAGCCAGAGAAAGGGGATCTCTCCTACATTGCCAGTGGGGATATAAAACGGTGTGTCCTCGCCAGGAAATAGTTTGGGAGTTTCTCAAAAACTAAACATGAGCATTGATTTCAGACAGATAAAGACTTATGTTCACATAAAAATGGACACAATGCCCTGGCCAGTTTGGTTCAGTGGTTAGAACATCAGCCTGTGGACCAAAGAGTCATGAGTTGGATTCTAGTCAAGGGATGTACCTCGGTTGGGGTTTGGTCCCTGGCCCTGGTCGGGGTTGTGCGGGAGGAAACCAGTCGATGTGTCTCTCTCACATTGATGTTTCTCTCTCTCTCTCTCCCCCTCCAGCCCACTCTATCAGAAGATAAATGGGAAAAAAAATATGCTTAGGTGAGGATTAAAAAAAAAAGTACACAAATGTTTATAGCAACTTCATTCATAATAACTCCAAACTGGAAACAACCCAGATGGCCTTCAACGGGTGAATGGTTAAACAGACTGCGGCACACCCACATCAAGGAATACTATGCAGCAATAAAAAGGACTGAACTACTGATACAGGCAGTGACCTGGATGAATCTCCAGAGAACAAAGCTGAGGGGAAAAACCAATCCCAAAGTTACCTGCTGCATGGTCTATTTATATAACACTCTTGAAATGAGAGAACTGTGGAAATGGAGAACAGATTGGTGGCTGCTAGGTATTGGGAGGGTGAGGGATTAAGCACATGGGAGCAATCTGGGTAGCAATGGACTGTTCTGGATCCCACCTGTGACAGTGCACTGCATAAAGTAAACATGCTTCTCTCTGTGTTACTTCTTATGGCTACATGTGAACTTACATTATCTCCAAAAAGAAACTTTAATTAAAGTAGGCGGAAAGTCCCAAACAGCATCCAGTTCATCAGGATGGCTGTGCAGAGCAGGCTGGCTTACCTGGAGGTCTGGGTCGAGGAAGAACACACTGCTGACGACAAAGACGTTGAGTCTGAGCCACGGGAGGAGCGGGCCCCCGTGGAGCGCACCTGATTTGTGGAGTGCCTTGTTTTCCTGCTCTTACATATTAAAATTCTCACAAAGGACACGGAAATGTCTCACAGTGGAAAATGATCGGGCTGGCACAGCGGCGGGGGGGTCGGGCACGTGAAGAATGAAGGCAGAGAGCTCTTGCTGAGCAGAAGCCAATGCTTTCACTTTCGACAAATGCCAACTCTTGTTCCAAAGGTTATAAAACAAAGCAAAACAGCAAATGCAAGCACTTTAGAGCATTTCACATAACCACTTTTCTTTCATTCTGAAAGCACCTCTTACAGCCTGAACTATAAACACATCAGAATTAAAACCCCATCAAAAATACCACATGGAACCAAATTCCAGGAAGGACTAGTTAAAGCAAAGCTTTATTTGATAGCAATATTCAAACGATTCTTCACTTTTCAGGATGTTCCCGAAGCAGGAAGAGGTAAGCCAAACTCGGGAGACAGCAAAGCATGAAAAGACCATTAAACTTGGCACCAAAACACCAGGGAGTGATGTTTAACTTGGTTCCAGTTACAAATCCAACTCTTCTTGTTTCGTTACAAGCTGATTCTAAGGTTTACGGGGAAAAACAGAGAGGTTTGAGTATTCAGGAAAAACACTGACTGAAAGAAGCAATG